CTCGGCCGAGTGCACTGTTGGTGTGGGATAGAGATAGCGTGTTCTTCCCGTGAGTCACAGGCGAATCAGTTTCAGTGCCGCTAGTAACAGCGAACTACAAATATTTCTCGTCACTAATGCAAGTTATTATATTAATTGTTCTTACCTTAAATCATAAAAGATATTCAAAGTGACTTCCTTGTGCTTGCAGGCAAGCTTCACATCTCGTTAACATGTTTCAAAATACTCGACGAAGCTCTTCTTGGGAAATTGCCGAATATTTTCTTCGTCGAGTATTTTGAAACGTGTTAACGATATGTGAAGTTGCCTGCAAGCACAAGGTAGTCACTTTGAACATCTTTGTGATATAAGGTAAGAACAATTAATGTAATGACATGTACTAGTGACGAGAAATATTCGTAGTCCGCTGTTACTAGCGGCACTGAAACTGATTCACCGGTCACCCACTGGAAGAACGAGCATAACTCCCACCCATATCAACAGAGCGCCGGCCGACCACGCAATGCAAGCACAACCGCAGCCTCATAAATTGTAGACCCGGTATAAAAAACATTCCCCATTGAAGTTCAGCCAACCACATGAGTAAATTATTGTTCAATACCCCTGTCAAAAACAAGACCATAGTAATACATATCCAATAATTCCAACTACCAATCACAAAAGCAATCTATAATTATAACTTCCATATGACTCACCCATGACCAATTCAGTATACAAAAGAAATACAGCCTTGCTGTCCCATGGATTTTCACTGTTCAGATCAATCGTGTGGAGCGTATACTTAATGAAGATGTTGATGATGATGGTAAGAAGGATGGCATATTCAAATCCAAATACAAGTTGCACTGATGCACCCTTGGTGATTGTGGACTGATATGCATGACACACAAAATTCAGGTCAAGAGCACCAAGCATGGTGAGCAATGCTGCAAAAAAGTCACATTCATCCACAGGAATCAAACATTATTATTGCTCTTTCCAGTAAAAAGCCCACTGAACCCTGTTAGGAACACTGCAAAACACATTCCTTCCATCATTTTAAAGGCCCTCCTAAGAATGCTTTGCTTTTGACTGATATTTTAAAAACTCTTTTTGAATTCTGTCAAAGCTCATCCTGTCCACGTATTTCTTTTCCAATTCTTCTCTACTGTTCTACAAATTCTGATATTTTGACTTGTTTCATGCTGCAAAAATAACAAATTACTTTCATTAATGTTTTGTTAAATTACAAATATTTAACTAAAGGATTTCTAACTCCCTGGTAGCAGAACCCACAGGTCCAACACTGACAACACCAAAGCCCGCCAATGGACTTAATCCTGAGCCAACTCCATCCATTGACCACGCTCACAGCCCACCTCCCTAAGATCCATAAAAAAGGATTTCAGCAATTTTAATTTGGCTGACATGTCTATGATCAACAGTAATCTGCGATACCTTTTTTCAGACTTCCTCGTTACATTTACCTGGTGTATTAATGGACAAATGATTAAATCTGTAGATTATGACATGTCCTTAGTTGGTATTCTGTCAAATTTTCTGCAAATTGTTTATTATATAAGGCAAACAGCAAATAAAAGTAAATATTTAACTCACGTAGTCTACAGAAATGGTATAAATGTTATGTACAGGTGAATTCAATGTCTAACTGAAGCGGGCTGCTCTGTGGCATATATTATGAATTCTGTATTAAATAATCATATAAAAATAGTCCCCAAGGTCTTGTAAAGCAAAATCACTGACTCATGATTCTGTATTGTTTACAAATAACTTACACAAAACTCGTATGTGGAACAACCACGATATAACTGGGCTTCTTTCCATCTGAAAACAGAATGCAGCACAGATTCAATAAACTTGTCGCACTGTTTCTTGCGGTACCAATTCTGCAAGGATGCTAACAAAATGTTGACATGAATATTGCTCAAAATACAACTTTATCAATAAGTATTCTAGGGTATTTTATTTCAGGATATGTACAAGTCAGTGCATTACGCTGCAATGAGAGAAGTGCCATCTATTCTTACAAAGACTAAGAAGTTTACTTACAAAATCTACTCTGTCCTCTGCCAGCCAGTGGAAAGACTTCAAGAACAGAAGAACAGTGAAAAGTGCAACAAACTTTGGACTAAAATCATCTCGAAAAACAGTGAATGCCAGGCATGTTTCTGTGACAGCATACCATGACCGTTCCATGAGATGCTGCAATAAAAAGAAATATCTGCATGATATACTGCAACAAATGGTTTAATTCCATTTCCCACCGAGAACATCTGCCACCTTTACAGCAGCTTCTGCTTTCAAACTATCCCAATAATACCCTGAGAAGCAGCAAAACTTAACAACGTATCAGAAACATTCATTCACTCAGACATGAAGTCACAGCAGAGAAAAAAATGCTAATTCAAGTTACCATCTGCGTGCATTGTACGGCTTCACCATTAAGAAACTGGTATATTTTGTCTGAGTTTTAACCTCTTTCCCCTCTATGAATTCCTACTATACTAAATATGTTGAATACAATACCTCAAATTCTGCAGCTCTCAACTGTCCAAAAAATACTTTCCTCATCAGTTTTCCCACCAGTATTACCATGATGAATGCCTGGACATATATTACCTGCAAAACAAAAATATATGACAACATATAACTAACACCATGAAACAGTCCCCAAAAAGTTGGTCATACACTTAGCTAGCTCATCAACAAACATCCTGTCTTTTATGGAGCCTGTAATTTCATTACCATGTTCACATCAGTCTGCTACAAGTCTCTGTCCTGAACCAAATAAATCCAATTCACACCCTCCCAGGCAATTGATAATTTTCCTGAGATTCAAATTTAAGATTATCCTCCAATCTATACCTAGGTCTTCCACATGATCTTTTCCCTTCAGGCTTTCCAACTAACATTTTGTATGCTTTTCCCAACACGCACACTAAATGTCCCACACACCTCATTTTCTTTGGTCTGATCACCACAGTAATATTTCAGGAAGAGTACAAATTATGGAGTTCCTCACAATCCATACTTTTCCAGCCTCCGGTCAGTTCATTCCTTTCAGGTCTAAATATTCTCCTGAACACCCTGTTCTCAAACACCCTCAATCTGTGTTCTTCTCCTTATGTCAGAATAAAATTTCACATCCATACAAAACAACAGATAAAATAATAGTTCTGTATATTTCAATATTTATGTTTTTAGATAACATACGGGATGACAAAAGATTCTAAACTGCACTGTAGTAAGCATTCCCTGAATTTAATTCACTCTTAGTTTCATCGCGAATAAAATCATCCCCAAAAATGTTAACTTTTCCACATTCTTAAAGGATTTATTAGCTACCATTTTACATGACTTAGTCCTGTAGTCAAGAGACAAAACATGAACATATAAACAAAGTTTTCT